CCAGCTCGAAATGTGCTCATATATTTTTTTTTTGAATCCAAATTATGGATCTGCTATCTGCTTGAGTCCATCCGCCCAGCGTCCACAGCCCAACTCCAGCATTTCAATCAGCATTGCAGTGCAGACTCAGAGTCAGGCAGTCAGCGATAGCGTCCCTCCCAACTCTTATTCTCTAATCTCTAACCCTAGCCGTCTCTCTACTCTCCACTCCAGAGTCCGAACTCCAGAGTCCCGGCGGCGTCTCAGGCTCAGCAATCAGTAATAGTATCATTGGATCAGCGACTCAGCGTCCCACAAGGCAGAAGCACAGACCAATACTGCCACACAGCTCAATCTTCAACCTTCATTCTCTAATCTCGTCTCTCGTCGTGTCGTTCTCCCCTCACACTGCCACACCTTTGCTTGCTGTCGTTCTCCCCTCGGCCCTCACACAATCTTTATGGTTGCCGTCATTCTCCTCTTTCCCCTCTCCCTGTTTGAGTATTTCTCATAGTCACTCTCTTCGACCATTCGCCATCAGTCTCCACCGGCAGTCTGGCACGATATCGTCCGTTCAGTGTTCGTCAACTCCAGCTGTGCGTGTTGATAGATTGCATGTTCTTCGACTTTATCTGTCCTGTTCACCTGTTTTGCTGTTCACTCATCTCTGTCTCCAGTCTCCACTCTTAAATCTTATTCAGTTCGCGTCTGCCCAGTGCCCAGGTTTTCAATTTACTCTTCTTCATTTTTTTAGTGCAATAATCCTTCAATAGCAATTACAAAATACATATGTACCTAGAAAAGTACTTCACTGGAAACATAATGACATACGAACCTGATAAATCGAGGATGATATGCTCTATAGTTTCCCCAGTACTAGAACTCACCTCATATTGAATATACCTCATGATCCTATTTCATAGTTTTTAAATTCATAAAAAAGGGTCAATTACTTGGATCGTCATGATATATATATATAGAGAGAGAGAGAGAGAAGAAATATTACATGCCTGTGTTTGATGTAGGAAGAGTTTGCAAAGTAGATAGGAGAACCCAGTTGAATAATGAGAACACTTGGGATTAAGGTGGAACTTGGATAATGCTCAACGTCTCTGTATAAAGTCGAGTCTGGTATCTTCCAAGCCTGCATGATTTTTCCATATTAGTCTTTGATTTGATTTGTTTCTGTCTGAAAAAAAAAAAAGCTTTGTTGATGAAAATAATGATATGAGATTGTGAGGGCAATTATGAGTTGAGTTCTGGCTTTATTGTTATAGATTATATTATAATGTATTAATGTTACATATATAATACATTACACACACTTTATCTGATTTGCTATTGATTTGATAAATGAATTTTATCCCAATTACTGTATAAGAAGAAAGTTGTTGAAAATGGCAAATTTATTGTTTCCTAATCTATAATCATTGCTTTTACATGACTGTTCTACATCTCTATTATGTGTATTTCTTTGTGATTTTTATATCATTGAATAACAAGCTTGATTTTGTATTTTATAAAATTTGTGGTTCTGTAATTTTGTTATGCTAGCATCGAGGATCAAGCTTCAGTTGCATCACCTTTTGAAACATCTCAAACACCAACCCCTACTGGACCTTCCCATTCACCAACCCCTACTGGACCTACACAAACCCCAACCCATACTCCTCCTACACAAACAGTAGCCCCTCCCCCTCTGCCTCCCCCTCCCCCTCAATCTGTCCCTCCACCTGCACCTCCTTCTCTTCCCCCTCGTGCTCCTCCCACCCAAACTCCCACAGAACATGTCACACAAGTAACAGATGCTGAGAGAAGGGGTCGAATAAGGAAAGAAAAGGAACCTAAACATACATCGGAGGTGTGGGATTACTTTATTAGGTTGCCTATAGAAGAAACTAATGGGGAGCATAGAGCAGCATGTAAGTTTTGCCACACGACTTATGCTTCTGATCCATCACGCCATGGGTCACATTCTTTGTTGAGGCACATCCCAAAGTGTCCAAAGAACCCTCACAAGGCCACCAAAGATAAGAAATAAGGAATGATAAATCTGTTATCAGGTAGGACAAGTGGGCAAGGAAAATCTTTAGTCACTCACTTATATGATGAGAAGAGGTGTAGAAGAGCTCTTGCTGAATTTATCATTTATGATGAGCAGTCATTCAGAATTGTTGAGAAGCCTGCATTTAAGAAGTTGTTGAATGAGTTTGAACCTCGCTTTCCAATCCCTTCAAGAACAACAATTGCAAGAGATGTGTGGCAGCTATATCTTGGTGAAGTAAAAGTGCTAAAGAAGATCTTAAAGCAATGTTCTGAGCGTGTTTGTCTCATGACAGATTGTTAGACGTCAAACCAAAATTTCAATTATTTATGTTTGACGGCACATTTTATTGATAATGAATAGAAGCTTCATAAGAGGATCCTAAGTTTTGTTATGATTGAAAATCATAAAGGTGAGACTATAGGGAAGACCATTAAGCAATGCTTGTTGGATTAGGGTATTGATAAGGTGTTTAGCATAACTATAGATAATGCTTCATCTAATGACACGGCTTTGGGATATCTTAAAAGGAGGTTGAGAAGTTGGAAGGGCTTGATTTGTGGAGGAGACTATCTACAATTAAGATGTTGTGCACATGTTCTTAATTTGGTGGTCAATAAAGGCATCAAACACATGAAAGATAGTTTTGAAGCCATTCGAAGTGCTGTGAGATATGTTCGGTCTTCTCCTTCACGATTTCTAAAATTTAAAAATTGGGTTGAATCTGAAAAAATAGAAACCAAGAGCCTTGTCTGCCTTGATGTTAGCACTCGATGGAATTTAACATATTTGATGTTGGAAACTACAATGAAGTTTCAAAAGGTGTTTGAGAGGATGCGTGATGAAGATGATGACTATATTGCATTCTTTAGCTCTAGGCAAGAGGGAAGTGTTTTCTCTAGCCCTATTATTGATGATTGGAAAAATGCTAAAGTCTTCATCAAATTCTTGAAGGTCTTTTATGACATAACTTTGAAATTTTCAAGCTCCCTTATTGTAACATCAAATGATTGTTTCCACCAAATTGCTCGTGTTCAGCAAATGTTGCAGAAGCATATTGGAAACAATGGTAATACTTTTTTGGGAGATATGAGCTTTAAGATGCATCTAAAGTTTGATAAGTATTGGGGTCATGCAGATAATATGAATCCATTGTTGATTGTGGCTGTGATCTTGGATCCTCGATACAAATTAGTTTATGTAAATCACATGTTTGAACTCCTTTTCAGTAACCCTGAGGAATGTGCATTGATGATGGAGAAGGTCAAAACTTGTTTGTATCGACTGTTTGACGAGTATTCTGTTGGAGTTCCTACTGAATTAGGGCCTACCCATACAAATAATGCATCTACAAGATCATTGCCCTCTCTTGATGATGATGATGATGATGACGACATTGAGGATCCAGGGGCAATGTGGTTAGAGTCTTTGAAGCAAAGAACTTCAATAGATCCACAAAGTGAGCTAGATAGATATCTTGCAACTGATTCTAGAGCTGAAATCACATCATCTGATTCTGAGTTTGACATACTATCATGGTGGAAAGCCAATTCTGAAAAATATAAAATTCTCTCCCACATGGCACGAGATGTATTGGCTATGCCAATTTCTACAGTGGCTTCTGAGTCTGCATTTAGTACTGGTAGACGTGTAGTTGATCAATATAGGAGCTCTTTATCTCCTAAAATGACAGAAGCATTGATTTGTGGGCAAAATTGGCTGCAAAGTGGGCAATCTCTCTCTGAGTTAGTTGATAAGCTCCATGAGTTTGATAACTTTAATGAGACAAAAAATATTATTCAGCTTACAAGTAACATATTTTTTTTTCTAAAGTTTACACATGCACACATACACCCTTTATTTTAGTTTTTATATTAATATAATTTTTTTTTGGTCTTTAGATGCAACACTTGGAGGGGAGAATGCGGCTGCTAGTGTTGATTGAAGTGTTTCTTTACAGGTATATCTTGACCCTTTATTAACTCTTTGAAAAATTAAATAAGTTTGTAAATTTGGTTAAGTTGGATGAAGTGGACACTAGTGATAGGTCCCTTATGCTTTGCTATTTACCAAAGTTATGCTTCGGCTACTGTAAATTTCATTTCTTTTGACTGCTTTTATTTAGAGGAGGCCAAATCTGATGCATTTCAGAGCAAATGTTGGCTTGCATGTGAGTTTCCTTTTACTCCATTCAAGATTCACCATGCATTTGCCTTGAATAAGGATTTTAATATGTTTAGTTATGACATATTTTTCCTCTTCCTTCATGCAGGTTGAGAGTTGGGAAGAAGTCTTTTGTGAATTGGAGTCTACTCTTTCAAATTGTTGTTTCTCATATGATGCTCCAAGTTTTTGTGAATTTTGTTGTTTTCAATAATCATAGCTGTTATTTTGGATTCAATTATAGATAATTTGATATTGTGACTGTTACCGTTATTGTGAATTTATGGTTTTTGACTTTATAGATGCTATTTTGAGTTGATACATAAGACTATTATTGATTTGTGAAAGTTTTATTTTAAAATGATAAAAGAATTGTAATTTAATGAGCAGGGCAATTATTTAATGGGCTGGGCAAAGCTGCCCAACCAACCCTGCCCAGCCCAAACTAATAGGGCATTTTATGGGCAGAGTTGGGTTTCGAGCTGCATTTTACAACCCATTCATTCTTTGGGCTGGACATCAGGCAGGCTCCTGCCCAGTCCTACCCTGCCCATGTGCACCCCTAAGTGTAAGTACCCAATTACAAAATTAATATAAAAGTGTCCTCAAACTTCCCTTTATTTTGCTCCAATATATCAAATGGAAAAAGGTAAACACATGTCTACCTACCCTCTCAACTGTTTGGCACCATCCTTGTGCCATTATTTTATTAAAGATATGTAAAATATCATGCCGATTCTCAAAATCTTGATATATTGATTTTTTTTATTAAAAAATAAAGAAATAAATTAAATGGATACACCAGAAGAAAAGTGAGCTGCGAGTGTTGATAGTGGAGGAAAAAGAAGAGCACAAGGTTTTTGTACTCACGGCTTGACAAACTATAAATCAAGGGGAACTAATCGGCAACAACGTTCGGGTATGCAAACTTAAGGGGAAATAGAAAGAAGACAGTGCAAGATGGACGTCACGATCAGACGACGGCGGAGGGGATGTGACTCGCAGACTTCCAACAGTGATAGCACGGACTCGGCGATGGCGGAAAGCTCTAGATATGGGTTGTTCGACTTTGATGAGAGCGACTCAGTGACAAAGACGGGCTCCAGATCTAGATGACAACACGGACGACGGCTCAGACAGCTACACAATCGGCGGATGGCAAAGATCGCAACTCGCACAGAGAAGGTGGCGCTGGAGGGAGAAGAGGAGAGGAGAGACCTCGCAGGAGTTACTAATGGGGGTAGAGGGTTTTGCGGAAACCTGAAGGTTAGAAAATGAGGATAGATGGTGCAAATTGTGAAGTTCTATCAAAGACAATAAAGATAATTGAATTAAAAAATTTTTTAAAAATTTTAATTATCAATTTAGGAGAACAGCTAAGTTTACAGAAATTTTAAAAAGGTTGAATATTTATTAAAATGTTAAAATTTTAAAAATTAATATTTGTTTTGATTTCATAGAGGCTCTATCCTTCATTGATTGTAACTTTGACCATAATCATTCTCTCTCAGCAATCATTAAAAATATCAAAAATCTTATCATAAAAATTAAAAGATTATTTTTGATCATGTCTACAGAGAAGTTAATCATTGCATAGATTTTCTAGCCCATAAGGTTTTAAGTGAGCATTTTTATATTACTTTATTTAACAATCATCTCATGAATTGTAAAAACATTATGGCTTCTAACATGACCTGAACTTAGTTTTTTTACACTGTTTTTACTGTGGTCTTGCAGTAAAAAAAGGGCAAAAGGGCAAAAATGCCTTGGAATTTTTATTCTAGGGGCGCCTAGCATCTTAAACTTTTTTTATGAGTAATGTCACCTCGAAAGTTTCAAAAAATGGTACAATGTTGCCTTGACGTTAAATCTAATGAATGTTGATTGTTAAATTCAAAGTTTGACCAAGGAATTTATATGTGGCTTTTTAATTTTGATTTTTCCTTGCTAATTCATCACTCTATGTGGATTAGTGTGTGGTATATGTAAAACATATAGAATCTGTAGGGTCCAAGTAAGGGAGTTGTATTCAAGCCATTTGGTCTGAGCTAGAGTTCGAAGAAGAGAGAACACGAGAAGGTTTGAGGGTTCAAGTCAAGCCATCTGGTGCGAGCTAAGGTTTGAGTCAAGGTTGGAAGAGGGTTTAATTCAAGCCATATAACTCTAAGGTGCACTAGTCAAGTGTTGAAGAGGGTTTGAATCTAGTTTCTTGCTCTAAGGGTTCGAGTTGAGGTTTGAAAAGCTACGTATGTCAACAATCGAATCTTTAAGGCTTCATCAAATAGTAGTCATAATAAATCATCGGCTTTTACATGTAAGTAATCTAACCATCTCAATGATTTTGCCTTTCATTTGCATAGTGTAAGTTCATTTAACCTCGTCTCTGTGTTTTTTCCTCTTAGTACTAAACAATATGAGATGGCCTCTAATGGGAATAATGGGGGTACTAATTAGAATGCAATAAACAGATATTTTGACACAATTAGTAGGAGACAAAAAGAGTGATATGAGCTGAAAGAACAACTTTAAGGTGGGTATAGATCAATAGCTGAAAGCATCTTAGCTTATAATGGTAGAAGGAGTAAGGAGAATCAGAAAGGAGGTAAGGGGTTGTGATAATGAGAAGGTTATGGAAGTTGGTGAGTGTTCTCAAGTTAAAGAAAAGGTGGGTGAAGTTCAAGTGTTGGATGAGAATAAAGATGTGGAAGCCGTGGAAGTTGAAGATGTCTCTATTAATTGGGATAAAGGAGGAATTTTTAATTATCATGATGACTATGCTTTTGAGGGGAAGGAGATGAATGTTGTTGACAATGTTGAAGGGAGGGTTAAGGTTAAAGATTTATTTAATAGTATTGATAGGGATGAGAAATTTATGGGTTGTGAGGGTACTACAATGCATGATAATGGTGCAAATGATAGAGTGTCCTCTGAAGAAGATAGTGGGGATAAGGATTTTATTGGTGGAGAAGAGAGTGAGGGGTCAAATGAGGATACAAATTCAAATAGTGGGTATGAAGATGAGGAGTTGGGCCTTGAGATGGGCTTAAATGATGATAATAGGCCATTGGAGGAAGAAAGGAGACCTGTAGATGATTATGGATCACAGTCTAAGCACTTTTTCATGGTAGGGAAAACCTTTAAAGATAAGGACGAGATTATTGAGGCTATAAATAGATATGCAATTAGAGAAGGGGTGCATTTGAATCTTAAAAAAAGTGAGCCTTTTAAAGTAAAGGCCATATGTCAAGAGGGTTACCCATTTGTCTTATATGTGGTAAAAGATGGAGAAGACCCAAGAATGAAGGTGAAGACACTATGTTTTAAGCATATGTGCAATAGGGTTTATAAGAACCTAAGGGCTTCAACCAAGTGGTTAGCTTCCTCTTTCAAGAATAAGGTGCAAGAGAGACTACAATACAAGATATCAGACATGAAGAAGGATGTAGAGGATGACTTGAAACTTCATGTGAGCTTAAATAAGTGCAAGCTTGTTAAGAGGATAATCATTCAAGAAATGGAAGAAAGTTACAAGGATAAGTTCAATGATGTAGAAGCGTATTGTAATAAGGTGAGATCTTCAAACTCAGGTTCTAATCTGAGTAGAAGTGAGTAAAGAAGCTCTAAAGAATGGCAAAAGGGTGTTCAACAGATTCTACATGTGCTTGAATGCATCTAAGATAAGATGTTATTTTCAATGGTTGTTTATGTTTTGAAGTAGTTATTTATCAAATCTAATTAGTATTTATGTTTTTGTTTATAAGGTTGGTTGGAAGGTAAGGTGTAGACCTATTATTAGGCTTGATGGCACATTTCATCATGCAATTGCCTAAATCAATAGGAAAGTTAGCCTCAATAGGAAAGTCAATACTCAATGGTACCAGGTTCAGCCTCAACTTCACTATGTAGAAGGAGGTTGGAGGATCGAACCTGGAAAGGCTCCCCTAAGGGGAATAACTCGTAAACTACTATGAAGAAAGTCAATCGTGGTGCAATGATGGATTGCCGACCCAGTACTTAAGGCCTAGCATTTAAAAAGCTAGGGGGTACTGTTACAAATATTGTGTAGGTACTAGAGATTACTTAGAAGCACCTTCACACTCCAGTTCATTAGAGGTGACTAGAGAGGAGCTTGAAATGGTGGTATCCACTATGAGGAAATAGACTAGAGATGAGATTGAAGCTTCATTTAAAGCCTTCTTGAAAGCTCAAATTTTAAAAATGAAGGAAGATAATGATCATGATGAGCCTAGACAGGAGACAACTACCAAACCAGCTCATACATAATCTCCTCAATTTCAAAGCACGAAAGGGAGTAATAGTCTTATACGTGTATCATAGAGTCCTTCAACTCAACATATCAATGATCCATATGAGATATATCTAGAGGACCCTAATAGAAGTTTGGTCACTCTTGGTAGAGTTCACAACTGGGGCCAACCATCCACCACAAGCAAATCCAAAATGATCAAGTGAGAGTAGCGGTTGAAAAATCAAAAGTACCAGATATGCTTGTCCCATTTCCTATTGTTGAGGTCAAGATTGTGTATGAAGCTATAGACGGTCTTATCTGTGGCCCAAGAGACTCATGACTATGGTGTAAGCTAAGATATTCTATTCCTTGAATTTTATTAACTATTTCTTCCTAACATTTTCCTAACATTTTTTTTATTAACTATCCCTTTTCAACTTATCCTGCCTAAACTTCCATAGCCCTTATTGCAACCACAGCTAAGTTTTTTCTATTGAATACTCTTATTGGTCTATATTGCATCATTCAATAAGAAATGTTTAATAATGGCTCTAGAGGTTATGGGTAAGGAGAACATGCCTATGAACTTTGAAAAGGAAGATTTGCTTTAGCTTATTTCGAAGAACTAGCTTACCACAGCACACATTCAGTTATTTATGATGTAATTATGTCTTTCAAGAATATAATTAACTCATCCAATTTAGTTAACTAACAAGATTGTGTTATTGTAAGTACCTCCATGATTTGCTCATCTCATCAGGCGAAAGTGCTATGTTTGGATTCCTTTGCCCACATCACATCATGAAAAAAGGGAATATTATGGCAATAAGAGCCTAGTATTTCTAAGAAATAATTTGTGAAGTCAAGAAGAATTACTTCATGGCTCCATATGTAATAGCACGGCCCCCAGCCCCTCACATTGGTGAATATGGTGCTGGCACGTGTCCCCTCACGAGCCCACAATAACTTTTTCCATGGTAGTATATGGGTTATTGCTCACCCCACCAAAGAGACTCAATGGTACCAGGGTTGGCCACAACTTCACTAAGGTAGGAAAGGTTAGGGGCTCGATCCCTGGTAAGGTTTCAAAAGACCTCTTTAGTAGGGTGAGGAATAACTCATGTACCATCTTGGAAAAAGCTGGGCCCGCTGCATGAGTGGTTAAAGCTCCAGTCCAAAAGACCCTCGGTGGGGTGGGGTGAGGGCTATTACACCATACATGTACTCGTGAGGATCAATTTGTAATTAATAATTTTTTTCAACTTGGATTTGCTTTAACTCATACCCTATTTTTAGAGGGACCACTGGCAGTTGTTGGTTTTTTTCAATGATGACTAACTCCATCCCCTTCTTTATGCTCACTTTATTACAAACCTAGGAAGGAATTGAAGAAGATGATAGACTTATATGCGTACTTTTGCAAAACTATTTAATTTAATTTTTATGTGGATGTATTAGTTACTAACTTTGTGATTTTAATCATAGGGTAATGAAAACATACTAAATAATGGTCCTAAGAAAGCACCCACATGAGCTTAAGGATCCTACATGGATCGAATCAAAGGTGAGTTAACCTAAATATTTATGAATTTATTCAATTATTAGGATTTATTACCAATAGCTTATGTGTTCTTATACAAAGATGTAGATAACTAATGAAAACTAGTTTGTGGAGCTTTTATGTGATAAGGAACATGCTCATCATCATCACATTGGGCATGTCAGAATTTACTGATGAGGTAAATATACTTTTTTATAAAAGAGGTAAATATGCTTTTGAAATGCTTAATTATTTTATTATTATTTGAGTTAGTTAATGTTTTAATGACAACTTTACATTTCATATATTTGACATTGCAGATCCATTTTTTAAGAAAGAAATTGATGACATCTGCGCATATTGAGCACAATATTTTTTGGATTGTGAGGTTTAGGTAGTTTTAGGAAGCTGTCTAGTCTTTTCATAGCTTTATTTAATTTTTATAGAATTAAGATTGTTATTATGTGATTGAACTGTTCTGGCTAGTTGGAATTATTTTGTACTATAAATGAGTTGCATTTTTCATGTTATAGGAAGAAGAAATATGTAGAAATCAATGTAATATAAAAATAATAATAATCCGTACATCATCAGTTATGGTTGGATATATAATATATGATGTTGTTTAATTTTATGGCTTAATGGATGATTAAACATTAAAATTGATGCACGGGAAAGGTGGAAGAATTTCTTGAATGTAAAATATGAAGGGTTATGTTGAATCAAAAATTGTTTAGATATATTTTAAAATTATTTTATTTGATTAAGACATGCATGGAATTTTTTAAGGAAATTATGAAATGTGATTTTGAGAAGGATTGAGGTTTTAAAAGGTTCATGCGAGTTTGATATTAAAAATAAAAAATTTTTCTTGACAACAATTATTTTTTCACATGTTTGAAATTGATTTCAAGAGGACTATATGCAAAACACTAGTACTAATGGCAATTTTGTTAGTTTGTAGCATGCTATGATTTATAACTAGCTAGTTTGATTTTTGTAAGCATGATTCCCATGTCTATTATTTGTGGGTCTTGTACTTACATCTATTTAGTGGCTTTGACTTGTGTCTGGTTAGTTACTCTTATGTATTATGTAACCACATCTATTTCATAGCAAGCCATGTTTGGTTAGTCACTTTTGTAAACTACGTGTCCACGTCTATTTTGTGAATTCGAACCGCGTTTTATTAGTTATTCTCGTAGATTGTGTATCCATGCCTGTTTTGTGTCTTCGAGCCATATTACATTTAACATCAATCATGGTCATAATTGGTGTCGAATATATACTTTTAACATCGGTTATGACCATAGATGTTAAATGTATTACTTTCAAAAGCAGTTATGACTATAACCAATATAGATAGTCCTACTTTCAACATATGTTATTTTTGAATTTTTTTAATATCTTTCTACATCAATATTGTAACCGTTGTAGAAATTTACTTACTACAATGGTTATACAACTGATATAGAAAGTGCTTGACTTTCTACAAGCACTTTCTATGTCGCTTGTAATAATATCGCTTTCTTAACCACTTTTTATGTTAAGGTTTTAATCAATTCTTATTGTTTGATTGGTGGATGGATTGTTGATTGATTTCTTGGATTAAGTTGGTCAAAAATTGACTAGTAATTTTTTTTTAGGTCAAAAAGTTGAACGGAAAATTGTGTGTAGAGATTTGTAAAAAATAATGTTATTAAAATAAATATAATACTTTTTAATTACTTACTGTTGTTATTGCTAGCAACGGTAACTTGATATCACCTATTAACTAATCAAAGCGGTTGGTTAAAATAATACTTTTGTTTTTTATATGAGTGAGAAATAATGTTAGTCTTTTAAAATTTATTTCTAATTTAGAATACTTAATCAATATTTATTTTTTATAAATGTTCATTTTTAATTTTTAAAGTCATTTTCTATAATTTTTTTAATTAATTAATAATTAAATTAACAAATATTTATCAAAATAATAACATTTTCTTTGTTTTCACTGAAAAATGCCATTGCACTATAGTCCACATTAACCTCAACAGCAAAAGTAAAACATTTACATCAAATCAATTTTCAAGTCCAATTCTTGGGTAGGTTTACCGGTTTGCATATTGTGGCTTTTTAAGACTTTAACCAAAGTATTTTCAAGTAAAAAAAAAAACATAAAATCTATTTATGTGTGTTTAAAATAGGAAGAATTATTTTAAATTTCACTAAATATGATTAATTATTTTTAAATTCATTGAGAAGGGTATAAGAATAATTAATTACTTGAGTGGGGCTTGTATATGAAATAAAGAAAATTAATTTTTAATTTTTTAACTTTTAATTAATTTGTAACTTAATTCTTTAATTATAACTTACTACGACTCAATTTCTGAACTTTTGATTCATTTATGATTTAGTCTCTTGACTTTTAACTCGTCTATGACTTAATCTTTTAACTTTTATTAGTTCTCTTTTTTCATGTTAATTTAAATCTCAAATCAACAAAAGAGAGTGTTTAAGAGTAAGATATGATTTTTTTTAATCCCTCTTATTTAATAATGATAATTTTTAAAAAATTGAAAAGTAAGGACAAAATTATAAGTAAATTAAAAATTAAATAATTAAATTTTAACGAATAATGATTAAGAGACTGAATTAATAAATTATATAGATAAAGACTTGAGTTAAAAGTCAGAGAATTAGAACATTTATTTTCCCCTGTGAAATAATACTTGAGTGGTCACGCGTTTCATCGCTTGCCTAATAAGCTAGGCCAACTGAGATCTGGGTTGTTGGGGAGATCGTCGGACGATGGCTTCGTTGATTAGGGCTAACCCCATTCCCTTCACTGTATAGGAATTCGTCCCTATGCGTCTCCGTCTCTCTCTTGCGGTAATCAAACACAAAGTAAGTTTCCTACTGTGGGTTCTGAAATTGCACTTGTGACGGCGTCCCAACGGAGAAATCTGAGAAGAACAGGCTTTCGAGGTTCACTGTCTCTTGTAAGTGCTCTTGAACGAAGCAACAGCGGCAGGAATAGCAGCAATGGGAAGAAAGGAGGCGCATTGAATTCCAATTACGTGGTGCCGCTGGACAAGTCGTTTCCTTTCTGGAACTCATCTATAACTCGTCCTCTGGCGGAGATTCTCTGCGACCTCAATAAACGAATCCCCGATAATATCATCAAACCTCATGTTGATGGCGATCCCTCGGCTGCCACCCTCATTCCCTGGTACTGTGTTATTCTGATATGTTTTTGTATATAGTCAATTTATTTTCCTCCAAGAAGTATTTTTTAACAAACAGCCAGAAAGTGACCATCTTATGCAACCCAAAAGGCTTTGTGTAGAAGATAGATAGTTAAAATAAATGCTGGGTAGATAGGAAATATATTCCCAAAACAAAAACGAAATCCAGAGGGAATGGGAAAACTAAACTACAACCTATAATAACTCATGTACCCATCTTCTTGAAACCGTGAATGGTATGAGAAAACAAAAGGGACGTACAGGGAATGGGAATCTAGAAGACTCATCTTGCTCAACAGCTTGATCGAGTTCGAGAGTGGAGGACGACACCGTGGGCATGGGAGAGTTAAGAACGATGGATATTTCTGGAACTCCAGATTTCTGCAATTGGAGATTTCTTCCTTAGCCACAGCCCACAAGGACAAGAATACTGCAACTCGATTTGGTGTATACTGTATATGGTCCATTTCAGCCATGAGATTTATTCTTTTTGACCTCTCGCTTTCCCCATATATAAAAGTCAATTTGTCATCTCTGCAATGCATGAAACAACCTCTGCCTTCATCGTGGTCGATGATTAGAGAAGAATAGGGCAGAGCAAAAGTTTGGAATTTTTTGACTTACATGACGTATACAGTATGAGGAAAGGAGAAGGAAAAAGTTCTGGTTTTTTTTTTAAATTTACTTTAATTACTTTAATGTTTAGTCCAAAAGGTCAGATTCATCCTCCTTGAACGGCTCTTTAAGGCCACCGTTTTATTAATTGTTCTGGTCAGGAATCAATACTCCAGCATTGACGAAATCCAACAAAAGCAATCTTGACAAGCGTTGCCACTCACTTGCGCGGACTTTGCTCTTCCCATGGAGCCCAACATCCCAATCTTAGTACCTCCTCGTGTCATTACATAATTTCTCCTACTTAAATCAGGTTAAATTTCTTGGGTTAACAGCGTTTCTCTCCTTTGTAAATTACCCAAAAAGAGAAGTCAGATATCTAGTTAGAGTGTATAAAAACTTCCTAAACTGATAAAGGAAGTGCATATTGTCGGAACTAGTTTTGATGTTCATCATATAGATGAACACTAAGAGCTTGTTGCCTTGAAATCATTCAGATCTAATTTTCACATTCTAAATTTATAATTTTTCAATAAGTGTTTTTTAAATAAAAAATTATTTTTTAAAAAAACTAATAGTTAAGAGATTATCTTTATTTTATATTATATACAACAACAACAAACAACAACAACAAGCCTTTATTCCACTAGGTGGGGTCGGCTACATGGATTGCAAGACGCCATTGTACTCTATCATTTATCAAGCTTTTAGAAATATTATTAATTAAGAGATCGCGTTCAACAACTTTTAAGAGTGTTCTCTTAGGCCTTCCTCTACCTCTCTTAATCGGACTCAAAGTTATATGTTCCACTCTTCTCTCTGGTGCCTCCCTTGGTCTTCTTTGTACATGCCCAAACTATGTCAACCGATTTTCTATCATTTTTTCCTCAATAGGTGCCACCTTTACTTTTTCGCGTACGTGCTCATTTCGAATTTTATCTTCACATGTATGTCCGCATATCTATCGTAACATTCTCATCTCTGCTACTCCAACTTTATACTCTTGGTGTCCCGTTAGAGCCCAACATTCACTACTATATAACATTACCGGTCTGATAGCAGTGCAATAAAACTTTCCTTCAAGTTTATTAGGCACCTTACGGTCGCAAATAACTCCTTTAGCTTTTCTCCAATTAAACCACTCAGCTTGAATTCTATGTGAAATATCTCCACTGATTTCACCATCATTTTGAATAATGGCTCCTAAATATCTAAACTTTTTTACTTGAGGTATAATTTGATCTCCCAATTTCACTTCCAAATTATTGTCGAATAGTCCTTTACTAAATTTACAATATAAATATTCCGTCTTACTTCTACTTAGACGAAAACCTTTCGACTCCAATGTCCTCCTCCATAACTCAAGTTTGCAATTAACCTCTTCTCTTGTCTCTGCTATAAGAACTATATCATCCGCGAAGAGCATATATTTTGAAATTTCCCCTTGAATATGTTCCGTCAAAATATTTAAGATCAAGTTGAACAAATAAGGACTCAGAGATGATCCCTGATGTTGTCCAATCTTTATAGAAAAATTCTTCGTTTGACCACTAGGTGTTCTTATACTAGTTTTTACCTCTTCATACATATCTTGCATGGCTTTAGTATAAGCAATCCGTACTCCTTTTCTTTCCAACGCTTTCCAAAGCACTTCTCTTGGTATGCGGTTATAAGTTTTTTTCAAATCAATAAAAACCATGTGTAGATCTTTATCTTTATAACGAT